GAGTATACTATGGGCTTGAACTTTGCTTTCTGTAAATACCTTGTAAAACATTTAGGAATAGTAGCATTGTGGTGACATTAAAAACCAAAAATGTAGATCAGCCAATTTCATACAGACAGCTCTGTTTATCTAATAAAAATTCATGAATAGTCATAAATTGCCTGTACCCTTGCTTTCATGGGGAAATAACAATAGTGTTTGCATGTTTATCTCTGCAACAGCATCTGCAACATGTTTGTCATTAATATAAGAAAACAAGAAGAGAAGCAAAGCTGACGTGCATTTGCAAAGATGATGTTTTTATATTCATGTCCTAATGCTGTTATTGACATTGGGTATCAATTGTCGGAACCCAGGACATCTCTCTGGATGCCCTGGATGTCTCAAAGCCCTATAGCAGAAGCTCTGTCACAGAGACAATTTTAAATGTAAAGAGGTCATCTTTCTTTAATTAACTTCATTTTGCATCCTGGAAAATACAGTAGGATATAATAGACCATGTGGACCCTGCTTAAGGAGACAGAAGATGTGGCAGAAGTCCCTTTAACAATATCTATTTTATTATAAATCTAATGGCATTTAAAACTGAAGACAAGCCTCCTCAAGAAAAACATCTCTGGGACTGTAGATTATGTAGATGACCACCACCATGAGCTCCCAACTGGCTCTTTGTGGGCAGCCCCCATGGTGTGGTATGGCAGTGTGGTGTGCCCCAAGCCCTCCTCCTGCACCCTGGCTCTTGCCTCTGCTGCTTCCCTGTCTCTCAAGGAATTCTGCTGCCATTGCACCTCCCCTGCAGGCTTTGCTCGATCTGCTGGACTGAGTCTGAAAGGGCCAGTTATGGCTGAGATGTGGGCAAGCATCCCTTATCCTCTCAGACCTCCCTGTGGTTTCAGGAGAAGGCTGGGAGAACAACGGAGCTGACCCTGCCCAGATTGCACATGAGACTGTCAGCACTGGTGGGGCAGCGTGTCCTGCAAGGCTGCCTCGGGTAGGTGTCCTTCAGGGGACAGCTTCAGTGAGAACAGCCTTGCTCACCAACACCACATAAATCATGATGGACTGTAAAGGCTTTTTTTGGGGAGGCAAGCCAGTGCATGGTGAGCTGGACCTTCAGGAAAAGTGGGCTGCTGCTTCAGATACACTATCCAGCCTTCTCTGTCAGTCTGCTAATAATTATGCTTAAATATATATAGGATACTTATAATAATGGCCAAATTAATGTTTTGCTTGATAGTGCATAAGTAAAGCACATATAATTTAGCAGGGTAATTTATGTACACTTGCGGGATTATAGCATGGGGTTTACTCTGCAGATGTCAGGAAATTCACTGTATTTGAACACAGTGGATTGGTGATGTTTTGTGAAGCTGTGATGCCTAGACATACTGACAGCCATGCTGAGGGCATGGCTGCTTGCTCAGCAGACATCTTGTATGGAGCAGACAGCCTTGTGGGTTGGATCTTCCTCTTGAGCACAAGAGACCAGAGCATTGGGGAAGGCCTCTGTGAAATTTCTATATCTCTTTTGTTTCCAGATGTATCCTAAAAGGGGATTGGTATGTCTATAGGGACTATGGTATAGTGATGTTCTTTCTTAGCCTTCATGTGTCAGTACCTCCCCCAATTATCCCCTTTTATTGTATACACAAAAGTGTCAACCTTAAAGTATTCATCTTGAGAATGTACAAAGATAGCTGTAATTTGTCAACAGTTTTAAAATCTCCAAGCAACTGTCTCCCTTTCCATCACATTCTCTGTAGTTGTTGTTCTGCAGGATGACTTGAAGTTTTGCATACAGGGGTGTGTGAATGAAATTCTTACAGTTAGTTATCTTGGCTTACTTTCTGCATGGAGAAGGAATTAATTTCTAATTGTAAAATGAAGTGTCTGTATAAGATGAAAAAAAAAAGAACTGTTTCATTTGTTTATTGTGCCAGGCTATCCCCACTCAGTTATCACTCATGTGCATTTAAGTTTACATTGGTGTGGCTGGTGGCTCTATGACACTATAAGTCTTACACTGTTTGATTCCTAAGAAGTCAGTTCAATAACCACAATGAGGATGGATTTTTTTGTTTGTGTTACAAACCTGTCAAGTAAAGGGATATTTTTCTAAGCAATTGCTCTCCAGGAGAAGCAGAAAGGTGGAAAAACGGCATTTGGTCTGACCTTGTGCTATTGAGCCAGGACAATATACTGCAGAAGAAAAGCTGTCAGCAGCCTATTGTGGCAAATCCTTGCTGCTCCTCAGGGCCTCACACCAATGAAAATCTGTGCCAAACAGATAACTTGCTTTCTAATCTTCCTGTTCGGCTTGTTTGTATCTGTGGCCAACTATAAAATATACTATGCCTCAAAAGACTCAGAGTGGATGTGCTTAAACCTGTCCATGAACCCTTCCTCCATAACCTGAGCCAGACTGCAGCTAAGATAAAACTGTCTGTATGTCTGTTCTTGGTGACAGCGGCACATTTCCCTTCCTGCTACATTGCACCTGGCTGAAGATCATCTTGAGTTATTCTGGAAGGACCCTGATATGTGGTTCCAGAAGAATTTGGCTCTTTAGTGCTTGTTTACTCTGCTTGTATCTTCTGCTGCTGTGAAATACCAAACTGGTAAGGGCAGCTGGATTAACTACTTGCTCCTCTGTGCCAATCTTGGGCAGCAATTGTTGTTAGAAATGTGAACTTCTATTACTCTGGTAGATGCTTCTGCTATGTAGCCCAGAGGAGAATTTTCCCCGTTATTTCCTCTCCCGTCTTCCTTGTCCCCAGGCTTTTATAAGCAAATACTGTGAGAGCTTAACTCCAGCCCTTCATCCTTCAATAGCAATGAGCTTGCTGTCTGATCAGGTGATAGGGGATTTTTTTTCCCTCCAAACTGAAGACTTTGGAAAATTAAACTGCAATACTTCATGCTGAAGTTTTTCATGTGTTTGAGTGCTCTTTGGATAGATGGTTATGTTTACACTGTTTTATTCCTCATTCTGTGTGTAGTTCATTATGTAGGCAGTCATTTGGTAGACAAAAAATAAATTCTAGGAAGGCAATGTACTATTAGAGTTCATACTAGAGCTTCTGATGTTGTTCTATTTAAAACCTGATGGCTATGCTTTTCCACATAATAATTTTTTGATGACTTAACCCAATGCAGTTCAAAGCAACTAGGACTGGTGCAAATGGCTTTTCTTTACCACATTCCCTCACACACTGTTTCCAAAATATACTAAAGATAATGCTACTTTTCACTTCCTCTACCTAAAGTTAGATGTGTTTGTGCTGTGCTGAATCAAGGATTTTAAGGCTCTCAACTTGATATACATGAAGCAGCACTTCCAGTACATAAAATTTTGAAAGAGTACTTAGTACTTACCAGGAAAGATTGATTGGTTCATTGGAAATGAAGTGAAGAATTTGACAAAGTTACTTGGCATGAAGAAGAGAAGCTATATAAGCATATGTATGTGGAGTTTTTTTCCAAATAAATCTCCCTCCCAAACTGAAATCAACCTGCTGTAGTTTCTTCCCTGGGCTACGTGACCGGTCTCCACACAAAAGCCACAACAAAATGAGGTTTTTGGCCCCTGTGGCTCTATTAGTCTCAGTTCTGTTGGAAAATTAGGCACATGGCTGATCACTAATTCTTTTCCTAATGCTGTTATTTGTTTTCCCTGCTCCTCTCCCATCCTTTTTTTCTTATTAAGAAAAGGTACATTTTATAAAGTGAGTGTTTCTGTGTATTATCTCTCAAGGAAAAGCCCATCTGTTTAACAAGCTTCATCAGATACATTGTTCAGTACTCCTTACTACTCGAGCAAAGATGATTAGTTGGCATGTACATGAGATAAAATATCAAAGTGTTTAGGACATGAGCTATAGAAGAAACAGAGAGAAAAATGTAGCATGAGGGGTTAATTTTTTTTCTTAATCTCAACATTAATGAGCATTTAATGTGAGTGTATTATCTCTAAAGACTAGGAACATAATGAGATAGTAAATTGGTGTGTCAAGAATTTTCTGAAGCAGAGAAATCTTTGTAACCAACTTGACTTCAGGCAAAATAGCCAAATTGCTGCCTTTTGACAGTGTATTATAATATATCAGGCAGTGATGTAAAACATCTTAGGCCCTGGGAAATGTCTGTACAGGATAGGTGCAAATGCACTCTTGAACTTGGGAACAGGGAAAGAGTTGAGGGCCATTTAGTGTTGTGCAGGTCGTGTGCCTGGACCAAACTTAGTGTTTCCAAGTAAACACACAGCCTATTTCTGCCCCATCATTTACACTGTGGAGCTGAAAAAAAAAATCCTGATTGCACCTGCCCACAGGAGATTGTACCAGCTCACAGGCATAGAGCAGATAATGGAGGAAAATCCTGTGCGTAATTTTGTTGAAAGTTCTCCTCATAGCCAGCTTTTTAATCTTTCCTCACCTCCTCCAGGGAGGAACATATGTTTCTATTTCTGATAATAGCTGTAGTCCATAATAGCCCCTGTTATGAAGGTCTAGGCAGAATTATTAAAGTAAAAGGTCTCAAAAAGTCACTCTAGGTGGCTACCAAAAAGAAAAAAAAATTCAATCAGTCTTCAAGCATTCATGTAAAGCAGTGACAGTGATAGTGACACTAAATCAGCTGAAGCTGACTAAAGAGATTGAATTTTAATGGTTAGAATAAAGTGTCTCCCCCCCTTCTAAATTAGTTAGGGGAGCTACGCTTATGCTGGGTGGAACTGGTTGCTATGACTGGGGTTATCAACAGCTCTGGATGGGGAGATTATTTTCCAGGCAGGAGACAGACATACTTACAACATCACTCAGGCCAGACCTGGCTGCTGTGTTTGAGCCCAAATGGAGCCCTGGGTAGTGGGCAGGGCATGTGCAGGTGGTAGCCTCAGCTGAGGCCTCTCAGAGCAATCACAGCCTACAGACATCCTCAGGTGCTTGGATTTAAATTGCATTTAGTGGCAGGGAGGTTTGTATCATGGAAAGATTCTGGTTAGACTGTTCTTTGCTCCTGTGCATGCTGCAGACGTGGGGAAATGTAGGGAGTAGCTATAGTTCCCTGTGGATTTGTTCCAGTTCTCTTCAAAAGCAGAATGTGGTGGAGCCAGGCACTTGAGTTCCTCAGGTAATAGTAACAACCTTGTTTGTGTTTTAAGTGTAGCACTGCCTGGTGAAAACCTGTCCTGCTATGTGTCTGTGGGGACAGTGGGGAGTCAAGCTTGAGAGTGACCTTGTGAAAGAGCTTTGCTCTGATAATTCCTTACCTGGCACAGAAACTCAGCTGGAATACACATGAGGGAAGTTGTGCTTGACTGTACAAGTAGGAGCTTTCAAAACTCATCCAGAACTTTCACCTTGCTGAGTAGTTCCAATAAGGACACTGAAGCAGAGCACATAAATTTCAGTGAACGTGATGTAGTCAAGCTGAAAAAGTAATTTTTCTTTAAGTCAATAGTGTAATATCCAGGATTTAGCACGTGCAGATACAGTATTAAAGTTCAGCAAAAGTAGTTTCAGTGACCTTGAAAATGGGCCTTTCTATGGTAAAGATATAAGCAGCGCTGTCTGAAATGACCTGCAGAGTCAGCAAATGTGTGGAAGCTGTTGGATACAGCTTTTAGCTCTATAATGTACTTAGAAGTCTAATCAATAAGCCTGACTCTGGGAAATACAATCTTTTTCTCCTCCCTTTGCAATAATTATGATTTATATTCCCTTTCAAATCAGTTGAAAAATACCTTTCCTATTGTCCAAAACTCTGAATTACTAGGTACAAGGCAACTATTTTCTTGTTGAGCAACTGTTGAAAACTTTCAGATAAATATTTTCAGTGTAGGTACATCTGTGCTAAACCCTTCCTCCTCCCCTGCCCCCCACTTCCAAGTATTTCCTCAGGGCTTGATTTAAGAACGTTCTAAGGAAAAAAAGAAAAATAAATCCCAACACATGATGAGGTCTTGTTCAAAATCAGATGTTTGCAAACAAAGACTGAGGATAAAATACACATCAGAGGCGAACTTTAATGCTGATATAGATGAAAACAGCCATGGGGAAACTCGGGTTTGCATGAGGTCTCTTAAAGGCAATGAGAGCCTCTTGGCAATTGTTTGCAGCTAGTCCATTGGAGGTTAATGTGTTTCATGTTTGCTCCTCATGATGCTTTAACAGGCCAGCTCAGGTGCTACACAGCTTTGTAGGGATTCCTAGCCAGGAGTTGCACACAATCGCAGCATTATGAGTGACTTGGAAAGCTTTTAAACTTTTCCAAAGCTTTCTACTAATGATTGCAATTGCATTGTGTTCCTGTGGGCAAATAGGCTGTTGCAGGAGTTGCAGGCTGATTACTACCATTCCCGCTGCGTTAATTGCTGAAAAGCCTCCTGAGGTTTTAATGGGAATCCTTGCAGAGTAAAGTGCTAGCTAGGTGAAGAAGGGAGGCAGCCCTCTGGTAAGATCCATCGTTTTCAGCACAGGATAGAGAAATGTAGGGATAACTCACATTCTCCTCATTTTGCAAAAGGAGAACTCATGAGAGGAGGAAGAGGAGAAACAACTCACACAGGGCTTGGGGATTTGGCAGACCCTGGGTGCTGCTGCAGTTGTTCATGCAGTTGTCATGTATGTCTGGCCCAATGTCAGTGAGTGTCAGTTATTAATATTTTATCTCAAGAAAGTTTCTGATCATGACAATGTAATATTTCCTCTGTTTTGAGATTACTCAGCCATTTTAACCTTAAAAAAAGAAGGCAACAAACAGATCTACTTGGGAGAAAATCATCAATGTGGGAAATCTTAACACCAGTCTCAGCTTTTCATAGGTCTTCCTTTTGTTTTTCTTTGAAAGGTCTTCTAAATGCTGAAGGTATTTGGTGTCTATATCTGTCAGTTCTGCTGCGTCTTTGGTTTTTTTTTCCCTGAATTTACTTTTCTGGTGAGCTTTTATTAATATGTAAATTCATGTGTATACAGATCATCAGTGTCTGGCTTCTCAAAGTGATAAAATTGGCCTTTTTTTGTACCTATTTTAAACTTAGTTCTTGAATGTTTTATCTTCTTTCATTTTAAACAAAGGAAATTATTCATATCATACCATTTTTTTTTTCCTTAGTAGACCATAAGGGATTTTCTGTTTATTAATACAAACATCTGGAAAACACTTTGGAAGTTCTTTATGTTAATTTCCTTAACAAGGTTCATATTTTAAGAACAAGTTATGCATTGTGAAACAATTTCTGAGTGAGTTTACCCACAGCACTCTTATCTTCTGAGTGCTCATTGCTAATCTCTTGGTGGTAACTGGAAAACAATCATCTTGGAAATGTCAAAGTCTTGATACAGATTCCTAAACTTTCTGGAACAAATTCTGCACTCTGTTTTAAGTATGTCTGGAGTCATTGGATTTGTGCTGGTGTAGCAACCAGATATGACTGTCTCTGAGGGCCAGCTGGAACTTGTGTGCAGCCTGATTTATTAGAGGTCACATTAGTAGCAGACTTCATTATGGATCAAACAGTAAGATATTTCTAAACTATTTTGCACATGATTTTGTTATGTGCAGCATGAATTCTCCCAGAGAGTGTGGACCTGGAGATTAAACTACAAAGTTCCAGCGTTATCATTGGAAAGATTTACTTTGGCTCAGCAGCCTTACTTCAGAGCAGTGATACAAAACACTGCATGTGTATGTCTGAAGCTCAGGGCTGGCTGTCTGCAACTTATATAAGTCCTGTTCACAAGCTGTTTGAAAACTTTTCAAATTCAAAGTTTTTTGCTTTGATTTTTCTGTGACTGCTGTCAGCTTGTTTTAATTGGTAATTTTCCTTGGAGAGGAGGACTGTGTCTTTTCATGTCTAGGTCAGGGCTCTGAGAGCAGTGACTCTCAACTGTACCCTGCTCTTTCTTCTCAAGAGTCATGCCATTTTAGGGAGCCAGGATAATGGATGCTTTCCTTCAGGATCTAAGGGGGATGGAGTGATGCAGTGACTCGTGGTTCTATTTGTCTTTTGGATTTATCTCTTCATAAAAAATGGGTTTCTATTAAGTTCTATGGCATTTATTGAATGGTCATTTTTGCATGTGGATGTGTGGGTGTCTGGAAAGACTTACTGGTGTGTCACTACTTGGATACTGAAGATGGGATCTTGAGAGCCTGCCAGATGTGCTGCTGGAGTCTGCAGGTGTTTCATTCCGTGGATAGGAGAAACATAATACACAACTCTATGCAAATGCTGTTAGTATTGTCAGAAAAACCTAGCACCTACAGCAGCCTTTAAAAGGCTGTGTTCTGCAGGATTTTTTTTTTTTGTTGTTTTGGGTACAAGCTATGAATATTCATGGATGAACCCCAGACTTAGTAATGAGATGCAGAGCTTTTCAGTATGAGAACATTGCTTTAGAGATTTGGTTATGAAGCTAGTTATTACCTAGTGTAAGCTTTGTTGCTGTGAAGGGACCTTCCTCAACACAGGTTTTATAATAAGCTCCTTCTTTGGTCCTATATGGCTTTGTGTTCAAGCTACAGTTATTCATATTTGAAAATGATGATGTGTTCAGTAGGAAATAAATCTGTCTCTGGAGATAGCTGTCCTCATCATCTCATATTAGAGGGATCATGACTACTGGGGTCTGGAAGACAAAAGAGGAAATGAACTTTTAATGTGAATGCTGTTAAATTTTACAGGGGAACTTTGGCAAGTTATTTTTAAAAAGAAAGCCAATCTCCTTTTGGGCTTTGTTTCTTGTATATGGTGAAATATGACTGCTGAGTGGTGACCAAGTCTCATTTTACTGTGGTTTGACAAGACTGAAATCCAAGAAAAGAAAGGTAGTTATTTTTAAATCAGTATTTAAAACAAATCTGATGCACGTAGATTTCACTTTAAAAATAACTTGGATTTCTTCATTAAATCGAAGGAATCTTAGATTCCTTCTTTGCTGTATTCTTACACACTACTTTTCTATCAACAGCTCTCAGTAATTTATAATGGAGGCAAATGTCATAATTCCTTTTTGCAAATGAGGATCCCAAGGTGTGGGGAAGAAAAAGTGTTTTCCTTGATGCCAATAAGAAGAACAGTATCTAGTGTGATTGCAGGCTCTAAATCTGTCACATCCATGTGAAATGCTCTGCTAGGATTTTGTGCTGTAAGTGTAAAAATGAGATCTTAAAATCAGGTGTGTTCCATCTATTGTGAGGAAAAAAAATAGAACTAATTCTCTTAGTGCTAAAATGTACCTCTTATCTGCCCCTGAAACCTGTATTTGTTTTTAATAGACATTATTTCACTTGTATTTAACAGTATAAAGTGCTATAACTGTGAGTACCCACCTCACAGAACATAAACATTCACTTAGTTTGATTGGCATTAAACATCTTGATTTGTGCAAAACAGGTTTATCACCAGCTTAGGACTAAAAGTCTGCAAGTGAACTCCTTGTTTGAAAGTGATTGAGGAAGGTATTGCATAATAGGTAGACAAAGTATTTTTTATGGCTGTAGAATGTGTCCTATCTTATCAGATCAACAGAATCATTTCAAAAAATCTAGCCCAAGTTTTTTAACTCTGGACAATCTTTACTGGCTTAATGGTAGTTGGCAATGTTTTTCTGACACTTGTGAATTCCAGGGTCTTACATTTTTAATGAAGAGGAAGTCCTGAAAGTTACAGGACTGTATTTTTCAAGCAGAGAGGAATTTTGCAGCTAAATATTTAAGTTTTTTGCACAGGAATTTTAGTGAAGTAAGCTGAGATAAATTAACTTTGTCAATAAAAATACGCTTTGGACCTATAAATACTTACTGGTAGATATGCTTTGTATAGGTAAATAATATTGATGATTGCTTCAGAGATCCTTGCAAGCTCTTTTACAGAACTAAATTTAAAATAGCCGTGGAGGAACCTAGGGGTTGGTTTAGTTTTAGATCTGAGACTTACTTCTATGTATTCCCTAACCGAGAAATTCAAGGGTGTTGCTGTCTACTGAGCCAGGAAAACACCTTTGTTCCAAAGCTAGAATGGACATGACAGCCTGAGCTCTACCCAAGATGCAAGTATAGCTCTTGACGTGTTACTCCCATTGTATCTGGTAGGCCAGTATGATAGGCTGATGTGAAGGCTGGTGTAG